CTTACTTTAGATTATGTATCTACTGTATAGAATAGTTTCTGTTATACAAATGTCTCCTAAGTTAAAGTCAAAATTGTTAATAATTCTTGAGTCAGATAATCAGATTTTAATATATCTAAATTAAGTTGATAATAATTTCTCAAAAATTAAATTTGTTATATGACATTTAGTATTTTATTGTGCAGTTAACATAAAATCATTTCACATTTGTTAAAATTAAAGTGCATTATAAGTACATTGTATAAGTACAATATACACTTACACCATATATTTACAATGTCTTCAACTGAAAAATGGGTTTGCTTAAACAAACCCACCTGCATATACAATTCTACTTTTTATTTTCATTTTTCACTAACTCATGATTAATATAAATATAGGATTATAAAATAGTCTCATGACTTGAATCATGGGTGGGGAGGTGGTAGGGAGGGGTTATACATTGTTTTCTGCTTTTAAATTGTTTATTAGGTAACTTCTGAAACCTGAACCATTCTCTTCTATTTTATGGTTTTGTTTCTTAAAGTGCTGACACAGTCATTCTGTGATAGCTGTATGTTTAACAACCTTTTGTAGTTTATTGATCCTTGGAGGGAGACATACAAAAGACACTAATAATTACTATGGTTGATTATTCAGTTAATATGAGTAAAATATTTATAAATTTGTGACTGGTATAATTTGAAGTTTTAATAAATGAAACAGGAAATTTTGAGCTACTTTGTCACATTGCTTAAATCAACCTCTTTCTGGTGCTTAGTAATAATGAAAGCAGATGGGTCTCATATGATACTTGAATTATACTAAGAAATAAACCTTTTTCATTCATGAGACTATTCTTTCTTACTTTCTTATAAAAATATTTATAAACTATGATGATATGCTCATGACCCTTTAAAATTAATAAGAGAGTAATAACAAGTAAGATAATTTACAGAAGTCTGAATATTCTTACTAATTGCAGATGTATATTAAGGAAAATCTATAGAAATTGGGATTACTTCAGTAAAAATTTATTGAGTTAATACTAAATCTAAAAGTAAGATCATTGTAGTGTACACAGAGAAACATAAAAGTGATGTTTGTGTTACCTTCTTACTTTGATGGATATAGGGAATTTCTTGGAATAATTTCAGATGTTATAGATTTTTAACTAACAAGGTGAAAGTAATTCATTTTTTTAACCTCAAGTCTTTAAACATTAATCATAGCATTTGCAATTTTGTTTATCCTCTATATTTTTATTTCTTCACAATAATTAAATGTTAAATGTAATAATTAAATGTTAGAATCAAGGGTTACATATTGGCCAGTTCAGAATTTTTTTTTAATATTTCCTTAAATTTTATTTATTTATTTATTTATTTATCTATTTATTTATTTACTTACTTACTTACTTATTTATATTTTTATTTTAGAAAGACGGATTACAAGCAGGGGAGAGGGGCAGAGAGATAGAGAGACACAGTCTTAAGCAGGCTCCTTGCTCGCACAAAGCCCAAGGCAGGCTCGATCCCATGACCCTGGGATTGTGACCTGAGCTAAAATCAAGAGTTGGACGCTCACCTGATAGAGCCATCAAGATGCCCTCCAGTTGAGAATTTTTAGTTGGCCCTGCCTAGGTATCATATGACTTTAACTTTGTAAAAAGTTTGTTCTTTTAATAGTTAAAAATGGAAAAAAAATATATAGGTAATAGGAGACAGAATATGAAGCCAAGATATGACCATTATTGGCATTAAAGTTACATCCTTTGCATGTTAAGTAATAATAAGGAAATAGACAAGTGCCTATAGGAATATTTTGTTAATATTCACTGAGGTGGCAAGTTCTTATAAAGATTTGATGAAGATTTGGATTGCCAGTAAAAACATATGCCTAGTTAATGCTTAACTGTTAACACTGTAAAGTTTTATCTCTCTGATATGCTAAAAAAAATCATTAATATTTATTTTGTTTTTCCTGCAGTATCTAATCTAATGCTGTCCACAAAATAATAGTTTAAGAAATTAAAAAAAATATTTAGTTGATCACAGATCTATAGGTACCATTCAGTAGAGGAACAAATCAGAATAACTGGTAAAATTATCTAGTTATCAGAGGCTAACAACATTTTAAAAAGTTTTTTCTAATGTTTATTTATTTTTGAGAGAGACAGAGACAGAGACAGAGCATGAGAGGTGGAGGGGCAGAGAGAGGAGACACAGAATCTGAAGCAGGCTCCAGGCTCTGAGCTGTCAGCACAGAGCCTGATGTGGGGCTCAAACTCAGAGTGCAAGATCACGACCTGAGCCAAAGTCAGAGGCTTAACTGAGTGAGCCACCCACATGCCCCAGGATAACAACATTTTAGGAGCTCAGTTTTACCTATGGGATTCTCTCATATATTCCAATAAAGGACTATTTGTGATATATGTTATTCTATTGCTATTTTAAATTTTTTTTTTTTAACGTTTATTTATTTTTTTGGGACAGAGAGAGACAGAGCATGAACGGGGGAGGGGCAGAGAGAGAGGGAGACACAGAATCAGAAACAGGCTCCAGGCTCTGAGCCATCAGCCCAGAGCCCGACGCGGGGCTCGAACTCACGGACCGTGAGATCGTGACCTGGCTGAAGTCGGATCGTGACCTGGCTGAAGTCGGACGCTTAACCGACTGCGCCACCCAGGCGCCCCCCTATTGCTATTTTAAATAATGGTTCTTTGGATGTTTAGCTTTAAGAAGGAAAATCACCTAGAGTAAAATAAAAGATTTTACTGTTATTACATAAAGAGAATTATATTGACAGAAAACATAATAATGTATTCATTCTTTAATGATTTTTTTATCGTCAATTTGTTTTCTTTAACTGCTACTTTCATTTTTATTTCATTCATTCATTCATTCAACAATAATTTTCTAAGCTCCAAACATATACAAATATATACAGTGGCAGACAAGACAGACAAGATTCCTGTCCTCACAGATCTTACCCTCCTGGGAGGAAACAGACCACAAACAAGTGCAAAATAAGTAAGACGATGGAACGGAGGTCCAGAAATGGGGTATAAAAAAGGCAACATTAGGTGTTCTAGGAAGGCCTCTTTGACATGTTAACATTTGATCTATAACTAAACAGCAAATGAGGAGGGCCTGGGTGGCTCAGTCAGTTGAGCGTCCGACTTCGGCTCAGGTCATGAGAACTTAGGCTCAGGTCATGATCTCACAGTTCGTGGGTTCGAGCCCCACATCAGGCTCTTTGCTGACCGCTTGCTCAGAGCCTGGAGCCTGCTTCAGATTCTGTGCCTCCTTCTCTCTCTGCCCTTCCCCCACTCATGCTTTGTCTCACTCTGTTTCTCAAAAATAAATAAATGTAAATTAAAAATAAATAAATAAATAAACAGCATATAAGAACCGCTCGAATATTTGGTGCAAGAACAGCAATGGTAAAAACCCTTTGTCTAAAATAATAAAAAACAAAATTGATTGAAATACAGTACTTAAGAGACAAACTGTCTGAGGTAAAGTTGGAATGAGAGGTCAGAACATGTGGGACTGCTTTGTCATGGTGAGGAATTTGGACTTTATTACAATGGCAATGAGAAGCCACTGGAGAGTGTTAAGATGTAACCTGGTTTCCTTTCTGAAAAGATCACTCTGGCTGCTCTGTAGAGAATACATTAGAGAGTACTGAGGAAACCAAGAATGAAAACAAGGGAAGGCAGGTTTCTTGCATTATTGTGCTTTATATTAATACTTTATATTTATAAAGTAATATATATTATTCTTGGTATATTATTCTTGGCATGTTGCCTCTCTATATTAGAAATCTATAATGATAGTTTAAGCCAGAGCTGAGGACAAAATACTGAAATACAGGCCTCTCAACTTCTAGATCAAACAGTGTCATTTTCATTAATTGTCATTTATTAAATGCTTATCTCACTCGATAATCTTATAATCCTAGGAGGTAGGTATCATTATCTCAATTTTAAAGAACAGCCTCAAGAGGTAAAGCAAGTTGGTTCAGAGTTGGCATGGGAAATCTGAGTCTCTCATACTCCAAAGCCCTGGATATAGTGGCCATACCTCTATTTAACTACTTTAATATACAATGCATTCCTTTGTAATATATATTTTAACCTTTAACTGATTTCTATTATGTTCTAAATAAGCTCATCTTGACTTATTTCAATACTTTTCTTATTCTGAATTGTCTGTTAAAAGTCTATTTTAAGGAAAGTACTTGGGGGCACCTGGCTGGTTCAGTCAGAGGAGCATGTGACTCTTGATCCTGGGGTCATGAGTTCGAGCCCCACCATGGTTGTAGAGATTACTTAAATAAATAAAACTTTAAAAAAATAAGGAAAGTGGGGCGCCTGGGTGGCTCAGTTGGTTAAGCGTCCGACTTCGGCTCAGGTCACGATCTCGCGGTATGTGAGTTCGAGCCCTGCGTTGGGCTCTGTGCTGACTGCTCAGAGCCTGGAGCCTGTTTCAGATTCTGTGTCTCCCCCTCTCTCTGACCCTCCCCCGTTCATGCTCTGTCTCTCTCTGTCTCAAAAATAAATAAACGTTAAAAAAAATTTTTTTTAAAAATAAAAAAATAAGGAAAGTACTTAGGTCCAATTTTACACATAGAAGAGTAAAGAATAATTCTGAAAGCAGAAGTCCACGGTTGATCTGACTAGGGTTTGCGTTAGGACTTGTTTAGGCATGCTGTAATATTAATTTTGTGAAACTCTAGTTACAGTATTAAATAACTACTTTTATCCAAACGAATGCCGGTCACTACATTAAAAAAAGATAATTAAAATCTCAGCCGAGGAAATGAACACATACATCGGAATCCTGCCTACGTTCTTTCATGTTCTAACAGTTATTATTTAACATTTGGTTTGCTTATGAAAGCCATTAAATCGCGACAAACCTATGTCCTGAAAAACTCACATTTAGAAAGACCATTACTTTAGGAAAAAATAGGTTTTTTTCTTAGATAATATTTTTTTAGAAACATGAACTTACTTCTGCTTTTTTACGAGCTTCCATAGCTTTCATAAGCATCATGTGTTGTCGTCTTCTCTCCCGTTCCTATTAGGCCAGATAAAATTAGGAAAATAACTCTAGTTAATGGTTTGATTTTGAAATGGAAAAACAAAACAAAACAAAACAAAACTCAGTATAGCATGTTTAGCATTTATAGACAAGTCACAGTAAATACTAAATATAAGACAAGAATGGCCAGTCTGTGCATGTTTTAGTTCAGGTTTAGAAAGCAAATACAAGAACAATCAAAAGCAAAAAGGTAAAGCAATGAACATGGAGACAGTGTAAACAGAAGCATACAAGATTTACTTATGGTCAGTTGTGATGCTCCTTCAAAAGCTGGCAGAACAAAAAGCATAATGGTTGGCTGGAACAGGTCAGTTACCTTACATCTGCTATTAGAAAAGCCACAAATATGTACTAGAGGCCAATTAAACTAAAGGCTGTATTGTTCTTAAATTTTTAGATCAGGCAGAAATTTATAATCACTTTCGCTTCATGGTTTTAGAATTAGTTATTTTTATTTCAAGTACGCTATCATTTTGTAAATTCAATAAGCCACCGACAAATTAGAAAGAGGTTTTTAAAGCTTTTATACCAATTTAGTTAAACTAGTCGTGGTTCATATACAAGCACCAATGAAATGGGGTATTCCTGGTTACTGATGTCTGCCACCTGATGCGCTAGGTAAGACCATAAAAGCTGCACCATGGGCTAATAAATGGAATCTAAAAGGCAAAGTATGAAAACAAGGTAAGCACTAGTTTTGTTTGATAATCTCATTTTATTTTAAAATAAAAAATCAGATAGTTATATATCTAATCATTTCTTTTTGTTTAAAAGTATTTGGTCCCCCCAAAGGGATGTTTCTAAAATTATTTCTAAAATTTGTCTATCAAACTGGAATATATTTCATATTCTCTCATCAACCTAACTCAAAATTCCCATTGTATTCAATGGCAGTTTTGCATCTAGAATTGATGGGAGAATATGGGTCATTATCACATCTAATTGTATAGTGATCCAACTTTCATTGTGACATCAGTAATGTAAATTTTTAGACAGCAGCCTTATATAAGGCTTGCACAAATCAATTAAAAATCCTGGAGATGTATCATACTTCTTTATAGACAGACAAGCAGATGTATGCAATGCACTGTGCTGTAAAGCCATGCAGCAGTATGTAATATGACAGCAGCCAGTGCTACACTTTATGCATTGCTATGACAACCATATCACAACCAAATCACAATGCGGTGTTAGATGTACAAAAATAAACATACCCATACCATATCTAGTCTATGCCTCTCCAACTCCTGGTAGAAAGAGTTGGCACAACATTATGAAACAGAAATCACAGAGTCATGAAACCAATTTTTAACCCCCCAAAAGACACCAATACCAAAGCAAGGCAATAAACTGTAAGATGAAGGAAAAACTTAAGCAGGAATTAAATTGGAAATTTTTAAGAAAATATTTTGAAGATTGTCCCCAAATCAGATTTAAGAAAAATCATAAAATGTACATTTTGACAATTGCATAACTGTATGTATACAGACCTGATGCTTTAGAAGAACGGCTTGTTGTCTTCTCATTTCTTTTTCCTTAAAAATAAGAAACTTTTAATATGCAATTTTTAGGGAAGATTTAGGACACAGTACAAATATTAAAAGTTTCTCTTCTGAGGTTCTATAGTCCTCCCTTAGGTCAAACCATATGAAATTGCAAATATTTAATCATTTTTTACTTATATGGTGGCAATTTCATATGGTTCTACATAATACAGAAAGATTGTATGACAGTAGCAAGGATATTATTTAGTAGCCATTTAAACTTAAAATACAATAACCTAATAGCACATTTCAATAGCACATTCACTGAATTGATTAGCTAGATGGTCAGATCATATAAGATACAACTGGCACGTGGACTTTTAAAATTACTTTAATACATTATGTAGTGCAACCTTCAAATCCAGCTGATTAGAACTCTGTCCATTCGGAACATAAATTCCCAAATAAACTCTATAATTAAAAGCATCTATATCATTTCTATACACTATCTATGAATGAAAGTAACAAGAGACTAAGAGATCAGTTTCAGATTTTCATGCTCAGCTATAATGCAGGGCACTACCCCAAGGGGGTCAGGCTTAATGCAAACAATTCTATGAATATCATCAATTTAAATATTCTTATAAAGGTAAAAATCTACATGATATTAATATCTTTTTTCTAAAGAAAAAAGTAACAGAGTCCATGTAGAAAAGGTAACAAATAGTTCCCCGGCTTTATAAGATATAATTGTGTCAGCTCCTGGAACCAGTAGGGCCTCATTTCACTCAGCAGTCCTTTCAGTAATCAATTATGAGAAAAAGTGGAAGGTGAGGGGTGGAATGTGTATGTTTGTATGTGTGTCTTGGGGAGGGTTGTGGGGCGGGGGGGGGGGGGCAGCGTTCACCTGTCTAATGCTTCACAACAGAAAATCAAAACCAAAACATTATAGTAATTAACAATGGCTAATTTTATTATTGGTAAGTAACAGTTGCTAAAATTAGATTTTTATTTCTGTAGGCTTCTCACTTTTTAATAGTTAAAATAGTTGCTGGATATTAACCAAGATAAACTTGTAATCTAAGTAGAGAATCAGATTTGGAACACAATTTAAAACATAAACATCAACAACACAAAATAGCTTTGGGAAGATCATTCTGATTCAGCAAAACTATATACAGGTATTATGTAATAGTTTGCATTTCTGATTTGATGTTTGCTACTTAAGTAAGAGCTCAAAGCATCACATAAAACCTGTATAAGGAAATAAAAAAACATATACATACAATATACATACAATAAAAGCACACATTATACACATATTGTATCTGTGCTAAACATTTTAAGATAATTATTTTGAGGAGAGCTATTATTTTTGTATAATTAATACTGGTGTAATAGCGTATAGTTTTTATTTTTGAAAAATAAAAACTCTGGTTCTCATCTAAACTAACCTTTATTCGTTTTTCGGCCTCCAATAATTTGGCATTTGCTGCTTCTTCCTTCTTTTTCTTTTTAGCCTGTGCATGCAAAACAGGTCTCAAAGTCATGCAACAGCACCACTACAACTTGAAAATAATCTCAGACTTAAAAATGGAGCTACATGCCTCACAGGTACAAAACAATATGTAACATATATGTAGACAATTACATACCCCCCACCAGTTAACATTACATTTAACATACTAATCTCATTTTTAATGTATAATTAGCATTAAGATATACAAAAGTTTTAAAATGTATAAAAGTATGTCAGCTTTTCCTCTCCAAACTCTGTTAAAAGTCTGAAATAACTAAGCATTGATGTTATTTTAACTTAACACTTAAACACGGAAAAAACCATTTTGTAGCATGTATTGCCTTTTTTATAGTTTTTAAAAGTAAAACATGATTGCTGTAGAAAGTTTAGAAAATGGGGTGGATTTTAACTGATAAAAAAGTTACTTAATGAATGAATCAGTAACATAAAAATGCACGTCTGTCCACTTTATTTGAAATTTCTTCAACACTTGAAATTTGAGATAATCTGTTCCTCAGATGATTTAAATGACACATTAAATCTCATTTTCCCTAGCTGTGCCATGTGGTTAATTAAAGGTTTTTTTTTTAAATAGGATGGAAACATATTTCATGAAGCATATTTTGATTATTAAGATTGTGCCATCAAATTTGAGCTTCACAATCTTAAAGTCTTTAACTATCTTGTAGTTTTATAACTATCCAGTAGTTATTATCAGTTTACTTTAAGATAAGCATATTTACTATTTGGGAGGTTTTAAAATTAACTTGAAGGCAGTAAGGAAATATCTGTATATTTCTGGATGGAAAAAAACAAACAGAAAACCTCAATTATCTGGGGTCCTCAGAATTGTTTTACATAGCAATAGTTTTCTGAATAGCTGAGAGGTTATAATAATTTTAAACATTAAAAGTTTATTTTTACACTTATGGATGAAAATAATTTTGAGACCTATGCCTATTTAGACATAGTACCACTAAACATAATTTAGCTTTTTCTTGATGACTCAGGACAATTGTTCTGAACATCAGTTATTATACTACACAGTTCAATAGAGTAATGTATTTTGGCCATTAAGGTGTTGAAAATTGCTTGCTATTCAACTAAAAATTACATGCTGTTGCTAGGTTTTTTAATTCCTATATATGCGGGTTGGAGTTTTTCTGCATTTTTCCCTTGCTGTCTTTTGGCTATTACTTCTGCTGTTGCCAACATATGTCTTTAGCCCTATTCCAGTAGCTTCAGGGGAAGGATATATTAGAAACCAGAAAATCAAGCTAGTTAAACTGTTTCTACATTTAAAATTTACTTTTACTTTTGTAATGTTTTATTTCTAAATTAAAAATAAATATCTAACTATATGTCCTAATGAGTTTTCTAAAAGTAAAGAATATGAGTTTTAGCACATGAACTTTATGACAACTATACTGTCTGCTCAGAGGTTTCCTCTTTATTTTGTCTTATTTTCTGGGTTTTTATTAGACTAATTAGGATTAGATCAGCTTGCTACTTAAATAAGGTTCAGATAAGCTCTTACTCTGCATTACTTTTAAAGAGAATTTCTGATGAATGTATTAATTTGTATGAGTGAGAGAATATGTGGGTAAAATTTTTATTTTTGCAAACTTTAAGATATATAAAATTTAACAGCTCTACCTCTAGAATTTGCTGGGCTCGAAGTTCTTTTTCCATTCTGATTTGTTGTATTCTTTTAATTTTTTCCTGTAGAAAAAGTTATAATTTAAGACAATAAATATGTAGATGAACACATTTAAGCGGAATGAAATTAATTTAAGGTAAGTACACATTTACCAAAGGTTGCCCATGCTGGATCTAAAACTTAATGATTTAGCTTAGCATCACAAATATATATATTCATGTCTTAATAGGATTTTACAAAATTTCTCAAAACAATATATAAAATACAAATTCTAACTAAGCATATAGAAGCCAGGTAAACCAAGGTAATTAAACTCATTTAGCCTGTTTGCAAGCATAAGTAATACCTACTTTGAAATAAATATAGGTCAGAATGATCAGAAAAAATAATACATCAGGAATCAGAAAACTTAAAGCTAGTTCTGAGTTACTGTCATTCATTACATGATCTTGAACATATAACTACTCTTGTATAAACAGGGAGAAGTGCTTACCCTTTACTCACTATGTCATGACACAATTACAATTCTTAAAAAAGTGTATAGTGCTATACAATTGTAATAGATTAACAATTTTTTCCATACCATAATTTCTTATTTCACATAGTGAATAACATGATAACATCACATTACAATAAGCTAAATTCAGAAGTAATCTAACATTATTTTAAAATGGGTCAACTACAATTTAACATTGTAAGGAATAATTCACACAACATACTAGGTATTCACATTGTCTAAATTTAATGTTCTAGTTATTGTTTTAGAATTCAGTGATCATGTAAATTTTGATAAGAATTTTACAGCTGATTTAAAATGATGCCATATGCTATAAGCACATTGTTAACAATTTCATGTTCATAAATCCCTTTGAAATTCCCAAATTGGCCCTGATAAGAATACGTAGTTTAAAAAAACCCAAAAAAACAAAAAAAAAAAAAACCCACCAACCCCAATTGTCCTGCTTGCAAATTGCACTGTTCCTAGGATTTCTAGAACCAACCCATTTTACACTGCTTTCTATTACAATACCTACTCCAATCTCCGGATGCTAGTGTACCTTTTGAAGCTATGCTTTAACATGTTGTTTTTTTATTAAATTTCTTTTTTTTTTTTTAATTTTTATGTAATTTATTTATTTAACTTACGTCCAAGTTAGTTAGCATATAGTGCAACAATGATTTCAGGAATAGATTCCTTAATGCCCCTTACCCATTTAGCCCATTCCCCCTCCCCCAACCCCTCCAGTAACCCTCAGTTTGTTCTCCATATTTATGAGTCTCTTCTGTTTTGTCCCCTTCCCTGTTTTTATATTATTTTTGTTACCCTTCCCTTATGTTCACCTGTTTTGTCTCTTAAACCCCTCAAATGAGTGAAGTCATATGATTTTTGTCTTTCTCTGACTAATTTTGCTTAGCATAATACCCTCTAGTTCCATCCACATAGTTGTGAATGGCTGCTTTAACATGTTTTTAAACTTACTCCTTTTTTTCCTCATACTAATGTTATTGATTCCCTGCAGGGCTCTCTACTGCAGGAAAAGGAGATTTCTGAAATTACTGTTCTGATTTTAGAAGACTGATCACATTCCATAATTTTGTTTTTGGTGATCCTACTTGGTATTGAATATTAATTGTAGCTTGCCAAACATAAAAACCCAAGAGTATCTTTTATTTCATTCCAGTCTTAGAGAAGGCTGTACTTGATCCACACTTGATATATTTATTTAGTTTAGAACTTGAGACCTAAGTAAAGCACACTTGTGATTTAATTTTCCTGCTCTTGTTAATCATAAGGTTATAAAATGGTATATTCTCAAGTCAGCAAAAGTGATTTATTATTTTCTTAGGCACAGAGATAGGTATGGAATCTTGGGCTTAAGTTCAACTCAGAGCTTTATCTTAGCTGTCCAAGTGATTCATATATATGTACATATATTTGGTAGTGCTGTCATTAGCATTAGCAGAGATAAACCTTGTTTATAAATTATTATAATATAAGTTCACCTTATAATATTGAGTACCCAATCACTGAACTGGGCACTTTACTTAAAATATCTTAATGATCATTAAAAAAAAAAAAACACATGGGGCGCCTGGGTGGCTCAGTCGGTTGGGCGTCTGACTTTGGCTCAGGTCATGATCTCGCGGTCCGTGAGTTTGAGCCCCGCGTCAGGCCCTGTGCTGACAGCTCAGAGCCTGGAGCCTGTTTTGGATTCTGTGTCTCCCTCTCTCTGACCCTCCCCCATCCATGCTCTGTCTGTGTCAAAAATGAATAAACGTTAAAAATTTTTTTTTTAAAAACACAAAAACAAACAAAAAACAACAGGGGCGCCTGGGTGACTTGGTCAGTTAAGCATCTGACTTCCGCTCAGGTCATGATCTCATGGTTCATGGGTTCGAGCCCCACATTGGGCTCTGGGCTGACAACTCAGAGTCTGGATCCTGATTCGAATTATTTGTCACCCTCTCTCGCTCTGTCTTTCAAAAATAAATAAATGTAAAAATATGTTAAAAAAACAAAAACAAAAACACAGGAGTTGCGGTTATCTTTTTTTTTTTTTAACCTAAGAGAAAATTGAAATTGCTGGAGGGTAAATATTTTGCCTAACATCAAATACTAAATATAGAGACCTGGTTAGATTCCAATGCTTTTGCTCCTTCTGCTTCATAATAATGCTTCTGCAAGTCTCTTGAAAATTGCTTTGAGGACTAATGCTGATATATTGGGGCCTACTAGGTGGAATAAAGAATCCAGATGATAAGAAGCATGTGATACCATTTAATCCTAGAACTAATGCTGACTTTAAAATAGGCATTGTGACTATGTGAGTAAACCCATGCTAGACTTTGATTCACTTTGTTGGCAACAACGAATAAGTGGTATTAAAAGACTAGCCTCAGACAAATATCTTGATGAATATCTAAGATTAGTTCATTTGTATTCATGTTGCTGGAACCTTGGGACCCCAATGCTTTTTTGATGAGCAGCAAAAACTATGTAGGCTTAAGGTGTAGCCACTTTAAGAGCTTAGGAACACAAAACTGAACTTCAGAGGCTGATGAAATCTGGTGCGTCTCTAGGCATTAGGAAATAGGATAAACTGTAAAAAATTAGTATTTCACTTAAAATAAAATATAGACTATTTTTACATATAAACATGGAATATATAATAAATATTTATGTTATTTTGATAAATATATATACAGTGCCTTTAGCAGTCACAATCAACAAACTAAGGAATGAATCTGAGTTTACAATTGACCACATTAAATTACAGTGAGGAGTATACCATATAGTTTGGTGTTTAATATCTGTCTCTTAAAAGGTGAACATCTGTTTGTGCCAGGCATTGTGGTATATACGTTACATTCCAAGATCTCGTTTAATCATTAGATAATGAGGTTATTTCCTTTTACCATGGAGGAAATAGAGACAAAGAGGATAATTCATCTAAGATGACAAAAATATTATGCAGCAGAGCCCATATTCAACTCTTGGCTGCCTGACTACAGACTAAGTTCTGACTCCCCATTCCACATCAACTGTCTTGAATCCCACATCACATCCAACCCAAGCCATTTATTTAGCAGCTATTTATATAATAACACAATTTACTTCAGTTCACACTCAGAAAAAACTACTTGCTGTTCAAAATATTAAATGAATAGTAGTTCCCTCATTTCCTTTCTGCTTTAATGATTATACGAATACATGGAGATGGGAGAGTAGCTCACACCCTCACATCTTAAATGCTCAATATCTTGTCATGCCATTGCATGAATTCTTAATTCACTTATAAAAATTTAAAAATCATTTCACCTACCTGTGCTTAATTTTGAAAACTACATAGGGGAGACAGATTATAGATAGAAGATAGAATGTTGGATATGTTGAAATAGTGCATTCTTGGTTCTGGTTTTTTTTTTTGTTTTTGTTTTTGTGTGGTTTTTTTTTTTTTTTTTTTTTTTTTTTTTTTTTTTTTTTTTTTTTTTTTTTTTTGCAGTAAGAATATTTAAGCATTCAGAAGCAGTGGAGACAAACCTTATTCTATAAACTTGAATTTAACTTTCTATGTATATTTTATGTATTTCAGAAGAAGAAGCTTCTCTTACTAAAATCTAAACATTTAAGCAATAGCCTTCATTTATTGATAATTAATTTTAAAAGTTTGAAAGCTGTTCAGATGTCAACCCAATTTCAAAGTCTATCAGGATATTAAAAATACTTATACAAATCTACTATTTGGTAAGCTTTTAAAACTTGGAAGTATGAGACTTGGTTCAAAAATGAGGTGAATTTTAATTAATGCAAGATGACAACTTTCTAAGTAAGATCCATAATATTAATGTGAAATGTGGTTATTTCAGAAATCAAGATGAAAATAATGTACATATCTACATATGCCAATAAAGCCTCAACATAACACTTGTGCTTTAAAAGTCAGTTCTAATGCATAAACGTACCTGTTGTTTCATAATCTTTATTTGTTCTTTTTGCTTTCTCTTCTCCTCAGCAGCCATTATTGCTGTGGTGAAAACCGAAGCACAGATATCATCAGCAAGGAAACAAAGAGGAGAAACTTCTTATGAATTCCCCAACACTCACTCTTGATGTTTATGTTTTCATTTAAATCACCTACCTTGTTGTTTTTTAGCTTCTTTGGCAACCCGAGCCTGTTCCTGCTTTTGAAGTTTTCTCAAAAGCTTTATTTGCGCTGCTTGTCTGGCTATTTCTGAAAAACACAACATTTCAAGAAATATTATTAACAACTTGACATAACTGTTAACCTAGAAACAATGACTGTGTGAAACTGGTATCATCATGAAAGGACATAATTTTTAAGAAAATCGCCTAAGGTTAGATACCAACTGAGAGAATGGTGTGGCAGCAAATTTCATGTTTATTTCCCCTAGAAATTGCTAAATTATTTCACCAAAGAAGATCCCACACACAGAACTACACAAAAATGATACTTCTTTTAATTCTCTTCACAAAGGGTAATCTGAGCACATCAGTTTTTGGGTTTGTTTTTTTTTTTTCACATTTTGTGTAATCCCCACTTCGTAGGAAAGTAGTAGCTAGTATGCAAAAACAGTGCTTTAGCTTCGGTCTTAAAAATAACAAAATACATGAAAAGGAAAAAGGACTCAAAATAGAACAAATGCAAAGCCTCCAAAACTCAGTATCACAATCAGCTATATAAATGGTAGTTTCTGAATCCAGTGACATTTTCATTTATGTAGGAGAGGGTCTAAATCTCCTAAATAAAGAGTACAGAATGTCAAGGGGTTTTAAAGACAACTTAGTTCTCATAATTTTTAAGGACAAATGCATGAAACTGAGATAGACTGACATGATGAGTGGCCCCAACTATTCATTCTTCCCTCTTCCATGTCATCTGCAATGTGACTTTGCAGTTCCTCTCATCAAGAGGTGACATATATTTATGTTCTTGTCCCTTGATTCTGAGTTCAGACATGTGATCTTCACTAGCTAATAGGATGTTAGCAGTTGTGACACACAAAGAAGGTTGAAAATATACTTGTACTCTTTCTATTTCTTCGCTTGTGCCTTGCTTGCCCTTTACTATAAAGACATGATTGGGCGAGGCTGCTGAAGGTTGGGACACATGGAGTCAGATGACTTCACGTGTGTGAAAACACCCAGCCAAGATCAGCAGAGCTGCCTAACTTACCTCCAGCTGCTTTGATCTGCGCAACAATTAATGCTTAGTGTTATAAATCACTGAAATTGTGTGGTTGGTTGTTTTCCAACATTACTATGGCAACAGGTAACTGACATGGGAAGCATGTCATGCTTTCTTCTGCTGGCAAACCTTGTCAGCATATTTTTAACTATAAGAGCGCTGTATGGGGCACCTGGGTGGCTCAGTCGGTTGAGCGTCCGACTTCGGTTCAGGTCATGATCTCACGGTTCGTGAGTTCGGGCCCGTGTCGGTCTCTGTGCTGACAGCTCAGAGCCTGGAGCCTGTTTCAGATTCTGTGTCTCCCTCTCTCTCTCTGACCCTCCCCGGTTCATGCTCTGTCTCTCTCTGTCTCAAAAATAAATAAACGTTAAAAAAAAATTATATAAATAAATAATAAATAAATAAATAGTGCTGTATCATAGTATCACTCATAAAATACCACCTTACATTAGACATTATTTTAAACTTTGTAGCAGATGAGTTTTAAGAAATCTATATATTATATTGAATAATGAGTATTAATTACTTGAGTTCTACTAATTTTTTCCACCATTTATTGAACTGCTGTATTAAATTTACATAAACTTATTTAATCTTCATAACAATCTTATGAGATAGGCAACATTATGCCCAGTTTACAAGAGAAATAACTAAGGCTCACAAAGGTTAAATAACAAAGCCAAGATATAAACCCAAGTCTTTCTGACTTCACAGTCTATATGATCCTAGTTCTAAAAACCTTTAAGAAAAGTTGAGTGCCTTGAGATTTTAGATAAGAACTTAACCCTCTGTCCTGTAACAGAAGTGACATTGGTTACTATGGCTGATTTTCTATTAATAAGACTTTAAAAAAGGGGAGGGGATGTAAAGGGTCTAACTTTATCTAGTAAACTGGAAGGGTTAATAGAAGATGATGCTAAAATATATCTCCAATCCTCCAATAACTCATAAATAACTTTTGAAATATTAATTTGAAAAAGATCTTTTATGGATTAAGAAATTACCTATCCATTTAATTTAAAGATAAAAGTTTACTTTTGAAATAGTTTATTTTCACACAGAATTAGGGATATTTTAGATACACCACATTTTCTTTGGTTCTAAGATGCAATTTTTAAACACAGTCTAAAATCAGAATATGTGTGACAATTGGCAGTACTTTTCTTTTGTAGTGGTACATCTTGAAATAATGGTACATTGCAATGACTATGGCATCTCAGATTCTATGACATATGAAAGGGAGAGGTACTATTTCATATCTTAGAAAATTTAAAGTATTAATAGTTTTGGCAGGTTTATTTATTAGGTCAATAGTCCTTTTCATATCAAAACTGCCAGATTCTTATCTTTATTTTCTAGAGAAATTAGAGAACTCTCATGTCATAATGCTTGGGTGTACATTCAAAATTTGCATTTATTTTGCTGTTCTGAACTTTACTTCAAATTAAGTCCAGTATTTCAGTCTAGGTGAGGCCTAGTAGGATAATATGACAGAAACTTCTAGAATACCTTCAAATAACCCCCTCAACCTGTTAATGTAGAAGCCTTTCAGAAATAAAAGGAGTGATAAAGTGATTCATTTCTTTCTTCCCAAGAAAAAAAATGCATATTTTACCATATATGCTGGTAAGTATTAATAATTTACTTTTAAATATTTAACATTTATATACATGTTGAGGAAAAAACATATACATAATCTTGTGAAAGGTAACAGAATTTAAAATGCAACATAATACAACAAGGGAGACTTATGTAACAGAATACAAACCAATTTGAAATCTCAAGGGAGAAAAAAACATTTGGGTAAAAGTTAAATAATTGCCTTTTATTTTGTTAAAATAAAATTCAGTTAATTTTCCATATATAAAGCTGCCATTTTAGATACTAAGTATTAATAGTATTTGTAGTAGATATTCAAGACATGCATGAAGAGCCCATGCTTTGGGTATCCGTTAATTTCAAGCTTTCTTATTTTATGCAAATAATGCACACTCATCACTATTATACATTCATCAGAAGAGTCAGTGGTTTATTGACAATGTTAATTTTAAAAACCCATCATTTATAGCTGTATCTCTTAATATATTAACTTTTTATCAACCTTCACTTATAACTATTTAGGGGAGATAAAAATCATAACAGAAACCAAATAAAATAACACAAAAAATTTTCACTCTTGGGGCTCCTGACTGGCTCAGTCAGAATAGCATGTGACTCCTGACGTTGGGGTCATGGGTTTGAGGCCAACATTGGGTATAGAGATTACATACATACATACATACATATACACATAAACAAGCAAACTAAAAAAAATTCATTAACATACAAGAGAGAAAAACTTATATGACATTAAGTTACATGCCAGATAGTTAATTTACATGCCATCAGTGGAACTATGAATCAGCGCAACCTTTTTGGAGACAATATTTGCCTGCTAGCTTCCAAAACTGAAAATGCACATACCCTTTGATTCAAAGATTCTATCTCTACAATTTTATACTATGAAATAGCCATACCTATAGAAGGATATGAATAAATGTGTAATATGTGTTTATTGCAGGACCATTTGTGGTAGCAATGATTGGGAAGCAGCTCAAATAGTCATCAAAAGAGACTGATTAACTGAAGTATGGTAGAGCCATATGTGGCATCACTTTACTATTCAGCTAGTAAAAGCCTAAGGTTGATTTTTAAGTGCAGATATAGAAATATGTTCGAGATAAATTAGGTGGAATAAATTAAGTGGATAAATTAAGCAAGTTGAATAGGATGTACATAAGCCCATCTATTTTACAAATGAAAAGATATATGATACAATAAATTACATATGTATATGTACACATATATTGTGTCACATGACTGTGTGTGTGTGTATGTAGGAGTGTGTGTACACATTTCTGGATGGATTTATAAAAAACTGTTAATAATGATGCCGCTCATGAGTGTCCTTTATTTTAAAGTGAGTGAGAACAAGTGTCTTATTTGTAAAGCATTCTATTCTTTCAGTTTTGTTGTGGGTGTTTGTTTTATAATAAAAACAAAACAGCTCCAAAGAAGTCAATATTATGATAGTGTTTACAATAAAGAGAAATAAGTCAAGATTTTCTTCCGGAAAAAGAAAAACCATGCAAAGAAGTAAAATCCTGTTAGTCTTTCAAGTCAATTTTTATTATTAAGCCTTTATTTTATATTGATTTATATGTTTTTATATATGCTTGTGAATATAAGACACCAATACATCTCTTTTGATGTATATTCAGATAGCCTTAAGAGGCTTCACATTTGTACCTAGTTACTCAAACTCATACAGAACTCTTTTATTTTAGTCAGCTTTCTGTGTCAGACATAGCATGGTAACTTCATGTTGATAATTTATGTGTAGCTTTCAGTTACAATACATTTGAGGTTATTATGAGCACTTTGTACTTGAAAAGTAATACTTTCTGGTGATCTTAAAATAAATTATGATTTAAATCTATTAGTTGGCCATTTTGAAAATATATGTGATATATCCAGACTACAAAGAACCCAAACTAAAAAGACTGGGGTTACTTACCAGTAATTGGAGTTCTCTGACTGAAAATTTACTCCACAGATCCACATATTTTGGAGTTATTCCCTTGTACCACCTCAAGGAATCGGGAGCTGTTAAAATGAGAATTTCCAGAAGGTTGGCACCACCTTAAGGCATGTGCCAAGTGCTGGGTGATTCCCTTTCTGTGCAAGCCTTGAAAGCTTATCCCCCACCTTTGTAATTCTAAACACACAAGATCTGATGTGTTTATGAGTATGGCTCTTGAAAGGAGCTTACCTAATCAAAGAACTCCAGTTACCAGTGAGATTCCTTATTTTCTCATTTTTATTCTAACACAAATATCTACTTTTCAGAAAGTGAGAGCAGTATCATTCATATTCAAAAACATAAGAAATGCGTAGACATATTAGTATGATCATTACAGTGTCATTCTATCTCTTACCTTGAGCTTGCAGTTTTCTTAGCAATTTGGCATCTGTGTTGTCTAGAAACTCAGCACTTCCCACGTTTGGAGGCCGACCCTTCCGACGTCTCATCCTGGATTCCTCTCTTGCTCGCTGTCTATCTGGATTTGGTGGTCTTCCTCTACGGCCTTCCATTGCCCTGATACGGGGAATGACATCCTCTTCTTTCAAAAGACACCACTGCATTCCCTTTTAATTAACATTTTACAGAAATAATATATTAAAAGAAAAATAAACACAAGTGATCAACATGTCAGAAAATTCTATGTAAATTCAGATATTCTGAAATCTATAAAGCTAGTATAAAGCTTAGAAATTTTAATTTTTAATTAAATTTATATCTATAATTGTTCATGGCCTTTGGCATATCTTTGGTTTTCTTACTTTAATGACTTCAACTTTAAATAGAGATCTAGATCTATAAAAATATATTTATAAACATATGTATCCATAAACCCATAAATAGAGATATATCAATCACATTTCCAAACTATAATGACCATAAAGTTGACAGATATTTGAAAATATTAGTTGTGTGATGACACCCCTATGGATTGCTTTCTTGTATTATCAGTTCAACCAAGCATGAAGCTATCCAAATAACTGAAGGAAGTTTCTCTTTATAGAAATATTACAGGGTGCCTGGGTGGCTCAGTCGATTAAGTGTCCTTAAGTGTGTGACTTCAGCTCAGGTCATGATCTCATGGTCCATGGGCTCGAGCCCCAGTTGGGCTCTGTGCGACAGTTAGGAACCTGGAGCCTGCTTCAGATTCTGTGTCTCCCTCTCTTTCTGCCCCACCCCCCCCCCACCTCCGTCATGCTCTGTCTCTCAAAAATGAATAAACATTAAATAAAAAAAAAGAAATATTACAGATAATAAATCAAGAAGGAATGTAATACCTGATGAATTCAGGGATCTAAGCATTGAACCTGAATGGTTGTCAATCACCAGAAAGAGAGACCACTAGGTAAACATCAGCCTTCTAATGGGGGTTCACTCCATCACCTATAAATTAATCCTGCCCTCTACCAAATGAATCAAACCTAAATGTGATGAGATTTCTGGACCTAATTACTATAACTTTACAGGAAAAATAGGATAAGAAGTGTATGTTAAACTACATAGCAAAATTCAGTCTGTAGGAAATTCTACAAATTACTCAGTTTTTTTGAGAAATAAATTTTAAGGAAAAAAAACTGTAAGATTAAAAGAGACTTAAAAGATGTATCAAATACATTTTATCTAAATATTGATTCAAATATAAAACCTTCAGAAAATTAGAATAATTAAAGACTGAAACTGTGAACAATGCCTAACATTTGATGGTATCCAGAAATTATAATTTTAAAGTGTGATAATGGTACTCTTCTAAAAAACAAGAGTCCTTATCATCTAGAGATACATATTGAATATTTTACAGATAAACAAGACATGTAAGATTTGCTTCAGCAAATGGAAAAGTAGAAGCAGATGGGGACATATGTAAAACAATACTGGCTATATGATTTCTTAAGGTGATGATGGGTACATCGTATATATTACATATTTGAGATTTCCCATTATAAGTCACCAAGAGAAACACATAAACTACCATAATGCTAATGCATTATAGGAATAATACTGCTCAGTGCATAGATACAATCTGAGTCTGGTTTTAATTATCCTCAATATGTCAATCAAAACAAATACACTGTTATATTACCTTCTTACTGTCTAAAGTAATACGTTCAGATAGAAGAATGGCACCCTTTTAAAATAGTTTTATTTCTTACTTCTTCTTTAAAAATATTTATCTTGAGAAAGAGAGAGAGAGACAGAGACAGAGAGAGACAGAGAGTGTGGGTGTGTGTGTGGAAGGGGCAGAGGGAGAGTATGAGAGAATCTCAAGCAGGCTCCGTGCTGTCAGCACAGCCAAAGATCATGACCTGAGCTGAAATCAAGAGTTGAACGCTTAACCAACTGAGCCATTCAGGTGCCGCTGTTACTTAATTTTTTAAGAGATAATTTCTCTAGGGGTGCTTGGGTGGCTCAGTCAGTTAAGCTCTGACTTTGGCTCAGGTCATGATCTCACAGTTTGTGGGTTCAGAGTTCTGCATCAGGCTCTGCACTGACAGTGTGGAGCCTGCTTAGGATTCTCTCTCCCCCCCTCTCTGCTCTGCCCCCACTTGCACATGCTCTCTCTCTCTCTCTCTCAAAATAAATAAATAAACTTAAAGAGAGAGAGATAATTCCTTTAATATGAAGGTTAAGGAAATTTTCAAAATGTGCTTTCTTCTTAAAAGAATGTTAAACTAGGAATTTAGCTTGAACCACTGTAGTCAGTTCTGCAACCAAAAACAATAAAAAGTTGTTGAGTTACTTTTTATTCCATGATTCCTAATCTGGGGCAAGAAATCTTGATTATCTCATTCAATGGGTATTAAAAATACAAATACTACTCCTGCTACCATCCTGGATGAGAGTTACATCCCACATTGCAAGCACTGTGCTTTGTTCCAGGCATTTTCAATACATTAATGTTCACAACACTTCTAATATGGTGGGTTTTATTGTTCCAACATTACAACTGAGGGAATTCACACCCAGTAAGGTTAAATAATTTCCTGAGGTACAGAGGCAACAAGGAATAGAACTGTATTTTGAACCTAGGACTATCTCACTCTAAAACCTGGGCTCTTAACCTCTACATGTAATTGATTGATGTTACAAAGATGTTTTTATATTTGATAAGTGACTGACAATATTCAGCCACGAAAGCATGCATGACCAAGATTATGTCACAGAAGAATTGTGTCAAAAAACCCAAATGAATATAATCCATATTTGTATGTTAAAAATAATATCTATACTAATTATTTGCAGTAATTCTCATGTGAAAAATAATTTTAAAAAATCTTTTTTAATGTTTATTTTTTGAGAGAGAGAGAGAGAGAGAGAGAGAGAGAGACAGCAAGTGAGTGGGGGAGGGGCAGAGAGAGAGGGACACATAGAATCTGAAACAGGCTCCAGGCTCTGAGCTGTCAGCACAGAGCCCGATGTGGGGCTTGAACTCATGGACCTCAAGGTCATGACATGAGCCAAAGTTGGATGCTTAACCAACTGAGCCACCCAGGCACCCCTAATTTTACAAAGTAATTCTGAAGGAAGTAAAAATTTTTTCCTCAGATTTCAAATGAAGTCAATAGGAACAACAGTTCTACGAACTGCATTTTAATGCCACAAACCACTGAGAAGAAAGTCAACAAAACAGTTTTATGTTTACCAGTATGGGAAGCTTTTGATTTGTTTAGATTTTTATTTTTCTGTTATGCTTTTAGGCACCAAGGCAGTATGCATCACATAAATTGAAAAATAGAGAAGTGACATTTGTGACACTTGGAGAAGAGAGAGACTAATAAAAGAGTCTGTAAAGGAATCTACATTCAGTTTTTAAACTATCTTATTAATCATAAAGTCAACTTAAGCCAAAATTTAAAGGGTTTTATCAATTTATTTTTTTTATTCAGTTACAATTTTTACATAGTTATGTTTTATTCAGCTAGGAAAACATACCTACGTCAAGAAAGGAATAGATTATGTTGGTGTCCAAAATTTACCAAATATAGTGACATTTTCATTTACATTTTTGCCCTTGGCATTTATAAAGTAAATACTTGTTAAGGGAACTGCATATATTGTGCTACATATACAGTCTTCTGACTCCTGGGTTTCAGAAAATGAGAAATAGACTGTAAGGAAAACCTGAAGCTTAAAATACATTCTTAATTCATGGAGTCGTTAAAATAAGTGAGAAGGAAAAAGAAAAAGTATTTTTCTCGATGAATGTTTCTTTAGAAAAAGGAAACAGAATTTATATCACTTGATTCATATGCTATAAGCTTTTTTGTCAATAAAAAATTATGCATCAAGAGAGTTAGCATATTATTTTTTCTTAATTTCTAAGACTAACATAGTAAATGGCTCCTGAAAATAATCTTTCTTGACTAAGACGTGGATACAAAGAAAATGGATACAAAGAAAACAGATGATCAACATGATGGGGATGGTGACAGATTGCCTATTTTACCATTATTATTCTGCTTTCAAGAGTTACTAATTTCAAACTTTAGCAGCAACACCTTCATTTCTATAAATACTACAAAGAAGAAAAAAGATTTTTTATTTCAGAAGACTAAACAAAATAATTAATAAGCATACTACACCATATTGTCTGCAATGCACTATGAAAGTAAAATATAAGACTGTAAGGTTTTGAGGTGCCTGGGTGGCTCAGTTGGTTAAGCATCTGACTTCGGTTCAGGTCATTATCTCACAGTTCGTGGTCGGGCTCTGTGCTGACAGCTCGGAGCCTGAAGCCTGCTTCTGATTCTGTGTCTCCCTGTCTCTCTGGCCCTCCCCTGCTCATGCTCTGTCTCACTCTTTCTCTCAAAAATAAACATTAAAAAAAATTTTTTTAAAAGACTGTAAGGTTTTATAAACTTGTGTTGAGGCACCTATTTTGTACAAGACATAACAGTCTCTAAAGGTAAATGAGAATCTTCTATTGTACCGTGCTGAGTTGTAATAAATTTGAAAAAGGGTTTAGAGGTTGGGACAAGAAGTTGTTGGAATTGTCCATTTAAAAAAAAATAATGATGGTCTGAATTAGGGCTTGAGAATTAGAGTTGGAAAGAAAGGTGATTACATTGGTCTTTCAGGAAGGAGGACTACCTGTATATGAAAGAGAAAAGTCTGAATGGAGACCAGAGAGGTGATTAAAGTTGGGAGGGGTCTCTAGGTAACATGGAAAAGGGAAATGATAGTGAGGTTTTCATCCTGAACTGAAGATACAGGACGAAAAAATACTTGAGAAAGCCTGCAAATAAAATCATTACTCTCAGGTATTTTACATCTTAAAAACTAAATAGAGCTTTAAAAAAACATTTATTTTAAATGAATAATTTAAAAATGTTTTCTGTATTCAGAAATTCAAAAATTATATGAAATTGAAGCTACATATGATTTTGTATTTCAACATTTCCATTATTCTTCATAAATGATACTCCAAAGTATTATTGAACATCTCATGAGCAATTTACTCATTTTTTCCTTTACACTGAATTGTGTAATTAACTAGGATCCTACATTTTACTGGCAGCTAATGTCAATTTGTGGTTTACCAGCAATATGTTCAAGTTTTAATGAAATG